TCAGGCTGAGTTAGGGGCCCCTATTTGGAAAGGGCTTCCACAGCTCGCTGGGCAGATGTCTGCCCTAACCCTCATGATGTATCATCATGTGTGATTTTCAAGTTTGTTATTCAACAGATCATGAGCACCTAGAGGGCAGGAACTAGGCCTCACTTATTTCTTTACTGACAGCATCTAGCACAAGGCTTAATCAAAATACGTACTCAATAAAACATATCTATGCATCAATAAATGTCTCTGAAGTTTGAATGCCAAGGAAATTTTCATGTTTGCAGAAGACTTCAAATTCCTGTAGGTATATAGATTCAATTCAAGGATAAACTGAAAGAGGGCTTTACTCAGTAAATACTGGAGAATTGAACAATTTAGATAAGTTTAGTCCACACAGTCTTTGGTTCACTGGGGGTGCTTGATAAACACTGAATTCACTAATTCATGTACTAGGGGAAAGCTGAAAAACAGGGGTGAGGTCTTATTGTGGAAGGTCTCTATGCCACAGAAATTTTTTAATTCATTCATTACCTTGATCAAAAACCTCCTCAATATTAATTTGGCAACAGGAAGGGGGATGAATGAAATGTAGAGAGATGGGCAGTAGGGAGGCCAGTTAGGAGGTTAGAAAAGTTGCCTTGCTGAAAAGTAACGAGGCCTTACCTTAGCAAGTGCAGTAGGAATGCAAATGGAAAGCTGGACACAAGAGCCAATGCAGATGTAGGATTAACCTGTCTTGGCAATTGATTGAGTGGGTGGGTGGGTTGCCCTTGAGGAAGAATTTTTTTTTTGAGACAGGGTCTTGCTCTGTCACCCAAGCTGGAGTGCAGTAGTTCAATCAGAGCTTACTGCAGCCTTGAAATCCTGAGCTCAAGGGATTCTCCTGCCACAGGTGGAACTACAGGTGCGTACCACCACGCCTGGCTATTTTTTTTATTTTTTGTAGAGATGGGGTCTTGCTATGTTGCCCAGGCTGGTCTTGAACTCTTGTCCTCAAGTGATCCTCCTGCCTTGGCCTCCTGAAGTGCTGAGATTACAAGCATAAGCTACCACGCCTGGCCAAGGAAGAAGAATTGAAAGATGACTCCCCGATGTTGAACCTGGATAACTGGAAAACAGAGGGCCGTTAGTAGCATTAATCTGGGAGTCAGAAGGTAGAGCTCAACTATGGGCAGCTGGAGAGATATCTAAATGCAGACGTCAACATAGGCAGTTAGAAACTTGGCTCTGCAATTCAGGAGTGAGGACAAGCTATATACACAAGGTTGGAGCTGTGGGAGCCCATGCATTTTGCAAAGAAGGGAAGGCCAAAAGAGACTCAGTCCTAGGGCAGTAGTATAGGGAATGCCTATATTCGAGTAGAACAAAGAATAGGTCACAGCTATCAGTTAGAACTCCGAATAAAAATGCTGGAGTTTTCACAGTTTATTTCCTGAAAAGACCAACCCAATGTTCTAAAAAAGCAAGTAAGATTTTCAGTGTCATTAGGAAGGCTATTTGAAATGAATAATCATATTAACCTCATACACGAATAGCCTAAGATATTTTGTACAGATGTGGTAATGAAACCCTAAGAGAGTTATTAGTAGCTCTGGAAATGGTCCAGAGAAGAGCAATTAAAATAACGAAAGGGAAGAAGCAACTGATGTCTTAGGAAAAACTAAAGGGATAAGGAACTTCTTCAGTTTGGAAAAATAGCTAGCAGAGCCAATAACAACAGCAACAATGGCTAACATTTATTGAGTTCTTACTATGTGTGAGAGAGACTATTCTAAACACTTTATATGTACCATCTCACTCAATCCTGACAACAACCTTGTCAGATTAAACACTATTATTATCCTCATTTTATAGGTGAGGAAACTGAGGCACAGTGAAGTCAACTAACTTCTCCAATCCCGCAGGGGTAGAAAAGGAAAAGCCAGGATTCAAACCCAGTATGATTGCAGAGCACATCCTTTTAACCACTGTAATATAAACCATCCAGCAAACAAATATTAAATAAATCTTAAAGATATGAATCATATAACCACGGTCTTGTTTACTAAGATTCAAAACTCAAGATACCAAGGCACCACTTGATGCTTTAAAAGGAACACATATTTTTGTTGTTTGTATTTCTTACAATGAGCACACATCACTTTTGTAAAGAAAAAAAAGGAGAATGCAATTTCAATATTGAAAATACTAATTTACCCAGCAGGTAGTAAGCTTCTGGAATGTGTTACCCAGAGAGGTTGTACTAAATATAAATATCTTAAAGAAAGGTTCTGTACATACAATAGATATACACCTCTTACAGATACCTATAATAGTCAAGAACATATTCCTGGGGAAAGTAGACTTTTGAACTGGATAGGAAAGAGGGAGGGAGATAGAGGGAGAACCTGCATGGGAAATGGAGACATGGATGAGTGATGTATGAAGACACTGATTGAGTTGGGTGACATGTATCAAAGTCAGTTAACTTGAAGACAATTCTGGGATAGCAGTACTTTCTCTATTCAATGAACTATTCTGGAAAACGTGAGGCGTCTTCATAAATAACATCTTGGTAGGAAACACTTTACAGATCATTATCCCTGCCTTTAATAACATCCATATCACTTATCCATGGTGCATAGGGAAAATGGCTATTTCTTTGCAAAAACTAAAGGCACTTCTTGGTCACTTAGGAATTGAAATATTCTTCGTCATGAGGTTTGGCTTTTGTTCTAAGAGCTTATGAAAACAGTGCTGCCACTAGCTGAACCTTGCACCTTTGGGATTAACTCAAACCTAGAGAACCACGTATGAATGGACCCAAGGTATTTATTTGAATGATACAGTCTTTAGTAACTGTGCCTATGAATACCTTGGCTTCTCTTCAGGTTGGAATCTACAGAAAAGACAATTAAAATACCACTCCATAAACATGATTTAAACATTTACTACTAGAAAATGCAAAACTAGGGTAGTTTCTTTTGCATTCACTATATGAGGGTAAGAGGTTAAAAAGAAGAGAGTAGAGAATGGAAGAAGGAAATAGAGAAAACAAACTCAATACCTGGACATGGGTCATTTCCCTGAAGACGAGGATAATACATTGGTGGCTTATACAAACACCCAATTCCTTACTGGCTTTCTCTTTTTTTCTATACTGTCATCTTTTTAAAAGAAAGGAATCAGACTTCAGATCCTTTAAGAAAACTCTTAATAATTTTCTGCTTCAGATAAATTGATATTACAAGAGGTAGTTTAACAGGGCCCCTGAAAAAGCTAATTTCGATTTAACCATTATCCAAGCTAAAATAAAGCTTTAAGATTTTTTTTGCCAGCTATCTTTTATATCTTGCCACCTCCCAGGGGTGAAGAAGGAAGCAATTTCCTGCCAACTACAAAGAGATTACTTCCTGGTTCTTCCTGATTGTGAGGCTTATAAATAGGACTACATTTGTGTAACATGGGACACATTATACTGCCCTTGAAATTGATCGGGTACCATGTAAAATTTTGGCTTAGAGGTGAAGAAATTGGAGAGGGCCCAGAGAAAAATAATGACCATCACTAAAAGTTATGGAAAACAGGATCCAGGACAAAAATTAAATAGGTAAAGTTGAGGAAATATGATGACTCTTGGATGTCTTCTTTACTTTCTAGTTTTCTTTCAGCTTTGAGGAATCTCAAGTATATCAGAAAATGTTTATAATCAAAGGGTTATAAAAAATTAAGAGTTCATACAAGTCCACAGGGATTTTTGAACCCAATTCAAAATAATGAAAGGACTCTCTGTAGAGAGCCTTTCAAATAGGGATACATCCCTCCCACTTCTTTTCCATAATTCATTCATTTTTCATTCAACAAACATTTATTGAATGCCTACCATGTGACAGTCAACAAAATTCTAGGCACAGAGAAATCTCTGTCCTCTCAGAGCTTACATTCCAGTGGGAGAAGAGAGACAGTAAACAATAATAACACAACAAACATAATAGGTAAATTATATAGTATGTTAGAAGGTGATAAAAAATAGAGCAGGGTAAGGGGATCAGGAATGGGAATATTGCAAATTTAAAAAGGGTGGTCAGGATAGCAGGTATCTTTGAGCAAGTGAGGGTGAGCAAATTGATGCAGCTAAAACGTAGAATTCTGATGGGGTTAAGGGGAAAGAATGGTGATCATACTTTGCATTTACTTTGTGATATTCAGTTTACAAACTTTGCCACTCAGCCCGGGGGCATTGGAGGAACTGGTGCAGCTAGAAAAACAGGATGAATTCCGTTTGGGCCATATTAAGTTTAAAGTGCCACAGGCCCACTCACATGGAAATAAATGTCCAACAGGTAGTCAGAAACGCAGATTGGGAGCTAAGGAGAAATATTTGAGATAAATATGTTGATTTGGAATCACTGTAATCTCTGCTGGCTGGAGCGGTGAGAATAAATGTGTGAGCTCACCAAGGGAAAACAGTGAAAAGAGGTCAAGGGGAGAACCTCACTACTGACTGTCTACATTTTAGAGGATGAAGACAAAAATGGCTGAAAGGAGAGCATATTTTATCCCAATCAGAGACAGACAGAGAGAAGCTGAGACTGCATCGTTAGCATCCTTTTATTCCCTCCCTTTCATTTCTCCCTTAACGTTAGCTGGTTCTCTTCATGACAAAACACTTCCGCCGGGCTACACCCCTTTTGGCGCGAATCTTTCTCCAGGACCTTTTGAAGATAAGGAGAAGGGTTTACTGTTCACCTCCCGCGTGCTAAGTGTTTGAGGCTCCAAATCCCTGGTTGTTGTCCTCGACACTCCATCTGCCTCCTCTCTCTAATACCCTTGCCTTCCTCCTCAGTGCCAGTTCCCAGGGGAAGCACGGGAAAGGCCTACAGAAAACAGACGGCACAGCTTGAAAGAAAGCCCAAAGCAACCAACAACTATTGGGTCTAACCCCAGCAGCCACTGCCTTTCACAATCGCCTCCAGCCCCGCCCTCGGCCCCACCCTATCATCTTCGTAGGCCCCGCCCCCTTCTCCCGCGGCCCGCGCTCATTTGCTGGCGCCCTTCCTCCTCGCTTCCCATTGCCCCTGCTTTCGCCTCTTTGTTTACGTCCTCCGCTCAGGCCCGCCCCTCTCAGAAAGGCTGCACAATGTAGGCTCATAGGCTCTAGAGGACCTTTTTCTCTGTCGCTTTCCTTTTCTTCTCCGCATTCGCGTTTCCGCTTTCTCATGGCCATCTGGTTTTTCCACCGCTGAGGCCCATCGCGCCTAGGACTTCGGTGACGTCATCTTTCTGCGCCGCGCGGACACCCGCGGGTGGAAGAAGGAAGAGCTACGCCGCCCTTCGTTTTTTTTTGTCGGGCTGCAGCTCCTTCGGAATCATGGCGCCGTCGCTATGGAAGGGGCTGGTGGGCATTGGCCTCTTTGCCCTCGCCCACGCCGCCTTTTCCGCTGCTCAGCGTAAGTGCTTGGGTAATGCGGACCGCTCCCGTGTGGGACCCCAGGGGCGGTGTGTGGGCGCACCCCTAAAGGACTGTCGGACCGAGTGTCTCAGGAACGGTCGTTTGAGACCTTACAGTTTGGGGTGACTAAGAAAGCAGTGCAGGGGTCCCCAGTGGAAGGTTTGGAGCTTGGATTTGTGGAGAGTGGGGCACCTGGGATTGCAGGAAGGTTGGAAGGAGGTGTCTGCGAGAGGGTTCAGAGTGGAAATCTATCCGGGAATCCAGGACAAGTGATGTCAGATCCAGCATGGGATGGATCAGGCAGAGTATGGGATTGAGGACTCCAGATCCTCATGGTCCCATGACAACTATGTGGACAACATCTTGGGCACTCCTGAGCTGTCCAGGCAGAGACTGAGAAGTTAAGTAATGGATTGCCTCATGGAGGCACTGTGGTACAGAGGAAAGAGCACTGGACTGGGAGTCTAAAGGGCTAGTTGTTAAAAACTTGCTCTACTGCTAAATCTGTGTGTCCTTGGGAAAAGATTTGTGCTACACTACATTATTAAAATTCAGTTTTGGGTCATTGCAATTGCACTGTGCCTAGGAGCTAGAGGTACATTGATGCCCTGAGGGAGTTCAACATCTAGTGAAGAAACAAGTGGATCAAGAAATAATCACAATATTCTTTTCTCTGACACTGGGAAATAAAAAAAGAAATAATCACAGTAAGGTGATATAGATGCTGTATATAAGGATGCATGGAGGCTGGGACAGTCATTTTGTGAAGGAGCTGGGGGGTTAAGGAGAGTATTCTATAGCCTTGCTGCTCGAAGTGTGGGCAACAGACCAACATCATGGGCATCACCTGGGAGCTTGTTAGAAGATACTCAGGCCCCACCCCAGATATATTGGCTAAGAATATGTGTTTTAATGAGATCCCCAGGTGATTTGTATACATGTTGGTTGAGAAGCACTGTCCTGGAGGAGATTGGGATACACTGGAGTACTGTGTCATTTTCTACAATGAGCTTCAGCTGTAAGGAGGGCCCTTGGCAATCACTGAAGTCCAACTCCTTCATTTTACAGATGAGGAAATGACTGGTTAAAGGTAGTCTTAGAGTCAGATTAGCCTTCGTGCAAACAAGAAAGCTACTTGAGAATTGAACAGACAGCAGGAGGTTAGTCAAAATCTATTTTTGGTATTGGTTTGATTTTTCTTTTACACCTGTCCTTATGACAAACCTTGTAAGTTAAAACTTAAGAAATGTGTTTAAATACATTCTCTTTTAAGAAAGAGTCAATACACGTTCTAGTCTAATTTGAGTGTTCTAGTCCAAAGTACATTATTAAATAGGGATTGTCCTAGGTTCATCTAGAACTAAGATTTCAGTGTGTGTGTGTGTGTGTGTGAGAGAGAGAGAGAGAGAGACAGAGAGACAGAGAGACAGAGAGGCAGAGAGAGACTCTGACTCACTCGTTGCCCAGGCTGGAGTGTCGTAGTGCGATCATAGCTCATTGCAGCCTCGAACTCCTGGGCTCAAGCCATCCTCCCACCTCAGCTTCCTGAGTAGCTGGGACCACAGGCATGTGCCACCACTCCTGGCTATTTTTTAAAATTTTTTTTGTAGAGACAGGGTCTCGCTTTGTTGGCCGGGATAGTCTCAAACTCCTGGCCTCAAGTGATCTTCCTGCCTTGGTCTCCTAAAGTGCTGGGGTTACAGGTGTGAGCCACTGTGCCTGCCCAAGATTTTGTATTTTTATGTTTCAAGTGATAAGAATGCCTTGTGAATTTGCCACTGCATTGAGACCTCTTTATAATGCTCATGTTGGGAAGAGACTATTATTTATGTTTGAGACTAATTGTGTCATGTCACATTGTGACAGTAGATAACACACTATGGTGCTATGGCATGCTCATCTTTGCTGTAAAGAAAGCAGCACACTGATCGCGTACTGAATCTCATTTAATCCTCACATTACTCTCATTTTACTGTTGTGGAAACTCAAGCAGTGAAGAAACATACTGTTTCTTTGATACTAAGACACACTCCCCCACCTACTCCCACGTTTGAACACTTTGAAATTGAGATACATATTACAATTACTGAGGACGTCTTAAATTGAATGAGATTATAGGAAATTTCAGTAAATTAAAAAGCTGGTACTGTGATCTAGGCTTATCAACTTCCAAATCCTGATCCTTTTCCTTTATCCCTTGCTGCCTCCTGAGGTTAAGGTAGCAGCAGAATTATAATTAAATAATAAAGGCAGAAATTGACGTACTGGAATTCCTGTTCCACCACTGCCCCAGCATATTCTCTCAGGAGAAACATTTCCATACCAGAATTATTTTGTCTACACCATGTGATGGTGGTGCTATTTCAAGAGTTGAGATTTTCTGTAGACTTACTAATTTTAAAATAATTGTGATTTCTTTGACCAGTTAGTTAAAGAAAATTTGTTTCAGAGGTTTCTAGTTTTTCTGTAGTAATGAAACAAAAATTATGTTTAGGTATTGCTACCTCATACTTATCTATCACCCATTTTATAAGCAAGTCATGATGAAGATAAGATAGTTCATTAACATAAGGCTGACAGCCTTAGAAGATAGAAGGTTTTTAGGAATCCGGTATTAGCATTACTTTATGTAGCATATGTCAGCCATTTCTTTTGTCTATTGATCTGCTTGCATTTTAAGAAAGAAAAATGGGCTATAATTTCCTTAATGGTATGCTTCTGGTTTATAGATCGTTCTTATATGCGATTAACAGAAAAGGAAGATGAATCACTGCCAATAGATGTAAGTTGGTCATTTGTATTCTGTTAAAATATATTTTCAAAATTAGCCACGTAGCTTATGATAATTTTTTACTGGTTATTATTCTTTTAAAATTTTCCAGACATGAAATAGCATCTGTTCTCTACCTTTTATCACTCGTTGTAAAACCAGAGGATTTGAAAACCTTAAAAGATTTGTCTGTTTGGTTTCTAGAACTGTAGTTGAAATAATCTTCCTAGAAGTTTCTCTGTTTATAGTACGAGAATGACTTAAAAAGTTGATTATTTGGCTTTATTTTTTTAAAATTAATTATTTTTTTAGAGACAGGGTCTTGCTCTGTCGCCCAGGCTGGAGTGCAGTGGAGTGATCATAGCTCACTGTAACCTCAAACTCCTGGGCTCAAGCAATCCTCCCACCTCAGCCTCCCAAGTAGTTAGGACTACAGGTGCGTACCACCACGCCTGGCTAATTAAATGGGGTCTTGCTATGTTGCCCAGGCTGGTTTCAAACTCCCAGCCTCGAGTGATCCTCCTGCCTCCCAAAGTGCTGGGATTACATCTGTGAGCGACCTCACCCAGCCTGGCATTTTTAGAAAAGTTCCTTTTTATGTGATAGGGACACACATAGGTGGTGTGCCCCTAAACAATGGTGGTAAAACTAAAGAAAAACAGGAAAGTATTTTTTAAGCTAAATTGACATATATTCTGGCTTCGTTCACAATTTTTATCTTTACTGGATTTGAAATTACAAAAATAGTAAGTTCTGTGTAACAGAATCAAATAGTATAAAAATTAAAACTGTCTATATATAATTAAAAAACAATAACGAAAAACTGACCCTATTCCTCAGCAATTCCATTTCTACTCCTAACAGTTTGGGGTATAGTGGTAGATCAGTCTTCTTTCTATGCAGAAACATTACGTATGTATGTAGAGTTTTATCTAATCAAAACACAGTTTTTTCCTTTAAAAAAGTTGTTAATGCATGTGTATATAGATATAGTTTTATAATTAGCTTTTTAAATAACAATTTATCTTGAACATATTTTCATGACAACTACATTCTTGTTAAAAGTGCCTATGATTGCATTGTATGAACTAAGTCTTCTTGGTACACTGGTCGTGGGAATGTAAACTGGTATTACATATGACATTAGGTTTTAATTTAGATAGAATAATAGCTTGTGGCTACTTTTGACTTTAGTTGTCTATAATTAAGGATTTGGTTGTTGAGGTTATTAACTCCTACCACCTTTGCTTTGTGGTGGATATACACACACATACATGCTCATTTATATCTGTTTTAAACAACTTCTGTTTACAAGTTGGAAAATTTGAAAAATACAGAAAAGTATAAAAAATATGCCTGTAATCCCATATTGCTTCATATCAAATATTCAACATTTTTGCTTGCTTAACCTCTTTGGAAAGCAGTTTGGGATAACCTGATAAAGTTGAATATGTGCATACTTTTATCTACACTCAGTGTTTCCACTCGTGTGTGCTGGGAGACATACACAAGAATATTCAGGTTAATATTATAAAAGTAACAAACAGGAAACAGCCCACATATTCAGCAAAGGTGGATTGGATACATTGTAGTTTCATAATAATGAAATACAAAACAATGAAAAAGAATGGACTACAACTACCTACTAGAGCAGGGATGGATCTCATAATCATAATGTTGAGCAAGGAAAGCTAGACAAAAGACATTTGAGCCCATTTAAACATAGTTGAAATGGGCAAAAGTAATACATTTTTTAGAGATTCATACATAGCAGGTTTAATACACAATTTGGGACAATGGTTAACTTTGAGATGGAAAGTAAAAGATATAATCAGAGGGACATGTGGGACTTGAAAGGTACTAGGAATGTTTTATTTCTTAAGCTGGGTGGTGGGAAAGTGGCCTTTTTATTACATGGTACACATAGACTTTGTGTACTCTATGTATGATATCTAACAATACCTTAAAAATTCTTAATTGCTCTTGGAAGCACGTAATATTTGATATTTGAGTTCTGAGTGGCTCAGTACCATTCAGTACTCAGTGATTTTACTTATTTGAGCATGTCACTAAGTTCATTTATTGAAGCATCAGAAATATTTTTGCAGCCAAGCCACAGAATTTATAGAAGATTTTATTGTGTCTGAGTTCATATAATTTTAAGTGAGAATTGACTCCTCTATGGGTGGCCCTGAGAGGACTACCTCATAGAGGCTCTAAAGAGGTTGAAAGAAGATTGTAAATGTTTATGATAACATTTGTGTGTTATTTAGTAATTTCATCTTTATACTCACAGATAGTTCTCCAGACACTTCTGGCCTTTGCAGTTACCTGTTACGGTATAGTTCATATTGCAGGGGAGTTTAAAGATATGGATGCCACTTCAGAACTAAAAAATAAGTAAGTCTTTCCCTTTTCATATTCCTTAAATGTCGTAGGGGTTTGCTTTGTTCATATAATTTAAAATATATGTTTTCTGGTACATAAAAGTTGGTTTCATTTTTACATTTCAATTATGTAGTCTGTATGAATAATGAGGTAGAAACATTAAGGTGGTATTTGATAGGAAAAATGGAAGTTGAATGGCAGATTGTTGGCATTAGAGTATGATGTTATGGTACCTGCTAGTTGGTTGGCTAGATAGATGGACAGATGGATGGAAATAGATAATATAGAAAGATAATCCCTCATAAATTTTAACCAAGCTCCCCACTTCCTCCTTCCCCTCTCCCTTTCCACTTTCCCTCCCTCTTTTTATCCTCTTGTCCCACCTTAGTCTTTGGAAGAATAAGGGGTTTTCTGTTTCCTCTTTCACTTGAGCCTAGCCTGTGATGTATGCTCTGCTCTCAGGCCCTTTTCTACCCCTGGATTCAAAGTGTGTTTGTTATTCTGCTTTCCTTTTACTTTGAATCCTGTACTTTTTCTAAGCTATTTTCATGTGTCTTTGTTTGCTTTTCTTTCCCATATTTTTACTTTCCTAAAATCACCCTTTAGCTTTGTTCCATTCCATCTCTGGACTTTACCTACCTTCCTGATCCCAAAAGTGATATCCCTTTACAATATTTTCTTAGAAAGAGTCACAGTAACATTTATGTGTTAGAGGAAACTCATCTTTCCCTTTTACTTTTAGTTTGATATTTACATTTTAAATAGTCACATATCGGGCCTCCTGTTTTGTATGAGAGTATGCTTGGACGTTTAGGTAGGCTGACTTTGAGATTTGAGTTTTTATCAAAGGAAGAGATCTCTTATTCTTTCCAGAAAAACAATATTTAAAAACTAACAAACACTAAAGGCCTTACACTGAGGTGTTTGAACTTTTTTAGACTATATATATCTCACTGGAAAGGAGAAAGGGATACTCCACTATCACCACTGTTTTTACAAAGAGTCTATCAAGAATCACTGGCAAGGGGCCAGGAAAGAAAGAAGTAAAACAGAATGATATTAAATATGTGACAGCAAAATACATGAGTTTGGACAACAGCAGGTACAGAGAGCCAAAAGGAATTTTTCATTGTACTTGAAAGATTCTTGGAAAACAGATCTGTGAAATGATCATATGGCTCAAATAGTGAGGGCCAAATGAGAATAATCAAAGGTGTAATCTATGTGCTAGGTTTTTTTTTTTTTTTTTTTTTGAGACAGAGTCTCACTGTGTTGCCTGGGCTAGGGTGCCGTGGCGTCCTAGCTCACAGCAACCTCAAACTCCTGGGCTCAAGCAATCCTTCTGCCTCAGCCTCCCGAGTAGCTGGGACTACAGGCATGTGCCACCATGCCCGGCTAATTTTTTCTATATATTTTTAGTTGTCCGATTAATTTCTTTCTATTTTTAGTAGAGACGGGGTCTCGCTCTTGCTCAGGCTGGTTTCGAACTCCTGAGCTCAAACAATCCACCCGCCTCGGCCTCCCAGAGAGCTAGGATTACAGGCATGAGCCACCGCGCCCGGCCTGTGCTAGGTTTTTAAAAGACTAGTTTGGCATGGGCTACTGTTCGATTTACAGAGGTGATTAAAGCTGAGCTAGCATTTGTGTTGTTATTCATAGGCATCCTGGAAGGAATGGCTGAATAAAAAAGAAATTTGAGGGCTTTATGCCGCTTTTCCAGGTTTCTTATTTTCTTCATATAGGGAAAAAAAAACCAAGATATAGTATGTTTATCATTTATGGTCTGATTTCATAGATTTATACTCGTTAAAAATATAACATAGCAAATTCATAATTAGAAGCCTGCTTATTTTCAAATAGCCTTTTATAAAGGTGTATCTAAAATTGATGCTTTTTTTCTTCTAAGGACGTTTGATACATTAAGGAATCACCCATCCTTTTATGTATTTAATCATCGTGGTCGAGTACTGTTCCGGCCTTCAGATTCAACAAATTCTTCAAACCAAGATGCATTGTCCTCTAACACATCATTGAAGTTACGAAAACTCGAATCACTGCGTCGTTAAGATTTTTACAAATTATAATAACAGAACAGGACATAGAGCTGGAATATTGGAGTTTGGGGTATAAAATACTCCCCCCATCAGTATTTATACTGATCTTTCAGACCTAATTTAAAAAAAAAAAAAACTATGGCTCTTGTTTATACACTGTTAATCAAATCATTAATGCAGTATAAGTTATCTGTGGAATGAGTCTTTGGTATTTCATATAGAGAAATTTTTTTCATTTGAAACAAATTTATGTCCTTTATAAAAGCCACTGTTTTGAACACATTTCCTTGGAAAATGTTGGTGGTTTTTGTGATTATTTATTTTCTTAGATTTCTTTTCTTTTGCACTACAGTTTTTAGAATCCTTTTGGAAATACTGTGTGACTACTGCATTTTGCAGCATGTATAGCAAAATGGTCTTCACTTCTCAACATATGGACTTCCCTAATGAGACCAAAATGGTGACTTATTGATTTTTCTTGCATCCCCTAAAATGTGGCTCTGCTTTGGCAGATACTTGCCAGCTTTTAATTTATCCATGACTTCTCACCCGACCCCACTCCTATATAACTTCTAACATCAGCTGTCTTGTTTCATCACTTCTGAGATTCTGTGTGCAGTGGGTAATTTTGTGTCAGAAATTCTTTGTCCTAACAAGTATATTTAACTAGCTCAACTTGCTGTAAAGCTACTTCTTCATTTATCTGTAAAAATTTTCCCTAATTGATCATGTAGTGTAAAAGTAGTTGGAGATAGACCAAAAGACCATTTTCGATTTCATTATCCTGCCTATGTAAAAGAATGGTAATCACTGAGGAAAACTGATTACTTGTCATTAGCGAGTTTAATTTATTCAAAGTCTCTGTTGGTTTATTTCATACTGAACTAGTGAATTAGTGAAAATAAGGAAACTTTTCATTAATCTAAAGGAAGACTTCAAGGAATTGGGCCAAATATGTTCTAAATATTTGGAACTGATATATTTAATGTTTTAGAAAATTAAGGTCATTTAAGAAATTGTTTTGTAGCTTCTCATTTATAGCAGGCTTAGAGTTTTCCATCTTCACTGTATGGTGCTGAAGTGAAAGTGAGGACGAGGATCCAGAGTTGAATTTTTTTTGAAACAATAATTTTGCTTTCAGGGAAATGTGGCTAGCTCCTTGAGCTAGAAAGCTGCAGGAAGCTCAGCATTTCCTTGTAGAGAACATTGCTTTTGTTGAATTGTTCAGGTATAAAAACATTGCTTTTGTTGAATTGTATAGGTGTAAAGGGAATAATTGTACGCAGGTTTGAAAAGGAAATGTGCTTTAGGCACAAAAGAGTCATAAGATGCCCTTATACTTGATGGCATTTTTTCCTATTAGAAAGGAACCTCAGCTCTTCTATTCTGCCTGATAACACATAGCCCCAAAGTACAAGATTGTTTTGTCATAGGATTTTTATTGTTGCTTAGTTTTGTTTTGTTTTACCGACCCAGTCTGTCTGTGGAATACTGACTCTGCTCTCTAATGAGAACAAAGTTAGAAGTCTGCCGATAACCTAAAATGATCTAGAAGTGAATTAAAAATATGAAATCATGGGTTAAAGTGATGATAATTAAAATAGTGTGTGAGAAACAACTCCTATCATCCTTGTCTACCGTTTCCTCAGGTATGACTTGATTTTGGAAGAGCCTCTTGTTTTCTTTTTTGGGGTTGTCTTCCTTTCCTAATATGTATTTATAACGATGCTATTGAGCTGTAATTCACCCAATTAAAGGGTACAATTCAGTGGTTTTTTAGAATATTCACAAAGTTGTGCAACTATAACCACATTCGATTTTAGAACATTACCCCAAGAAGCAGCTCCATACCCCTTAGCAGTCACCTCTTCTTTCCTCCCAATGCGCTCCAGCCCCTGGCAACCACTAATCTACTTCTGTCTTTGTAGGTTTGCCTATTGTGATCACTTCATATAAACAGAATTCTATACTATCTGGTCTTTTGTGACTTGCTTCCCAAATAGGTTTTCTGTGTGGAGTGAGAAATTCTTCTCATCTTGAGGACACTTAGTGCTATGAAAGGGAGTGGTTGGTAAAATCAATAGATTTAAGGAGGGAGAGCCAGATACCTAACAGGTTTCTCAGTTAATCTTATGCTGAATAATTTTTCCTTGTAGCCAAGCATTCATAATATATTATAATATTTTGGTTAAGCCAGAGGCGGTGGCTTGCACCTACCCTCCCAGCTCTTTAGGAGGTTGAGGTAGGAGAGTTGCTTAAGGCCAGGAGCTCAAGAGCAGCCTGGGCAACATAGCGAGACTCCGTCTCTAAAAAACAAACAAACAAAAATGGCCAATCTTTAGAATGGTTAATGGAATCTTTGCCTGCCTGGTCAGGAAAGAAAGTCCTGTTAAAAATGATGCCAAATAATTTGGCAGGTAATTAACATAGTAGTTGTCAAGTGTATCTACCTTTGTTAGCAGCTTGTATACCAGGTGAGCTCCGCAAATTTCTTTTTAATTGACTCCAGTGAATTTCTGCTGTCTTTTTTAAGTATGTACCATAGGACTAAAAGTGATTTGGGTGCATTGTAACACTGCTAAATGTACTAAGTACAGAATTTTATTTCCAGTACTATGAAAGTCCGTTACTGCCTAGGGTAGTTCAAAACATATAGTGATTTGAGCTAGTTAACCCTGCAGTTGACATGATTTCAGTGACATTTAGAAGTGTGTACCAATCAGAGCTCTCTCAAATAGGAAGACTCACTTTTAACCAAGGAACCAGCCAAATACTATGGGCTAATGGCCCAGCTGCAGAACATGCAGATCAGTGAATTGGAGACTATTATGCTCTGTAACTCCCTAATGATTGTTTCCTAATCATTGTGGCTTATTTCTGAATGGCATGACAGCATCTTCCTGGTTGTACGTGGCCTGTTTCCATGATGTATTGAGTAGTGTTGTTTGTTGTGAGCATCGATGCCTGTAACACCAAGCTAAACACATTTTTTTGGATATGTTTCCTCTCTAAATGACCTTGCCCTGTCCAATAAATAAATGATTGTCTCACCCTGTTTTTGGTAGCGTTTCTTTTTTTTTGTTTGTTTTGGGGACTTTTAACCTCATTTCTTCTGCATCTCTGTTCCCGGAAAAATGTAAGAGCTAATTTTATGACCATGTTTTTTCCACTGTGATGCTGTTTTTCTAAATTCAATGGATACTTTATATTAATAATTGTACATGTAAAATCTTATTGCAATTTTATGTTTTATAATCAGAATGTATAATTTCATTTATATTTATAATCATCAAATGCCCTTTGGGGTGTAAGAATTGGTTCTTGAGCAGCAGTATCTAATCATCCCATCACAAATATGTTATAGAGCCAAACTGCCATTACAAAATGTCACTTTATACTTAACAGGAAATCAGTATTATTAACTCATCAGGAGGCAAATCTAAAGTATAATGAAAATCCAGGGGAAGTTCTAGATTGCAAAGCTTGGCACTTAACTACAGTATTTTGAAAAATAACACCACCAGTATTCAAATCTACCTAGGAATATCTCAAAATCTGCTAATCAAGTGTTCTTAAAAAGTGGGGGAGAAGAAATATAATATATGTACATGGCAAAAAGATCAGATGGTACGGAAAGGCATGAAAGTAAAACTTGCTCCTTACCTCCTACCCTAATGCTTCTCTCCAAAGGTAACCAGCTTCACATATAGGTTCTTATAGGAAACACATTTTTATTTGCCAGGAAATGCATACTTTAAAAGAATTTTACATAAATGGAATCAGATTATATGCATTCTTCTGTACCTTTTTTTCTGCTGCCTGTTTTATAAGATCTTTCTGTATCATTATATATAGAAATGCCTCATTCTTTTTGATGACTGGTGTTCTAACGTATGAATGTTTTAAATATTCAGACATTGATAGGCTTTCAGGTTTCTAATATTTTACTAAATCATATTGCAGTGAACATATTTGTATATATAATGAGATTGTATCTACAGGGTTAATTCCTAGCAATAGAATTGCTGGATCAATGAGTATTTTTCATTTTCAGATCAGTAGTTTCTAACATTGTGCTCTAGAAATCTTTGCCCAGTATACTTTAACATATAAGAATGATTATTTACCAGACCCATGCCAATACTAGGTACTAAGCTTTTGAAATTTGATCATCTGAAAGTGAATAAATGGTATCTTGTGATTTAATGAAGGTCTAATGCATTTTAATGAAGGAGATGGAACACATTTTCAAGTTTATTGGTTACTGATATTTTCTGTAAACTGTGTGGTCATGTTCTGTTTTCTATTAGATGATTTGGTTTTTATTGATTTGTGTGAGCTTTTTGTAAGCTAAGAAAATTGGTCCATTGTCATACGTTGAATATTTTCCTGAGATTGATTTATGTAGTTAAACTTATCAGTCTTTATGTCTTCTGGGGTCTTGCCTTTCTTAGAAAGGCCTTTACGTTTAAGAATAAATTTAATGTATTTTTCCAGTGCTTTTAAGCTTTTTTTTAACCTTGAAATCTTTTATTCATTTGGAGTTTGTTTAGGTAGTAGGAATGAGGTAAGGATTCAACATCTTTCTCCCTCAAATAGCCATCTATTTATCCCATTTATTGACCATTTTTCCACACTGATTGAAAAAACCATCCTCACGCATAGATTGAATTTCCACATATATGTTCAGACTGTTTGTGGGCTCTGTAGGCTATTGCAAAAATACCAGCATTTTAATTATTTTAAGTTGTTATGCATTTTCATATTTGGCATTGCTAGTCCATACCTCATTCTTTTTCAGGATTTTTTTTTCTTGCATGTTTATTTTTCCAGATGCACTTTAGTATCATTTTTGTACAAATCTAAAATCATTGGTATTTTCTCTGAAATTTTATTTTGAAAAATTTCAAATTTCATTGCCTCTAGATCGTTTTAGCAGACAGAGCAAAGAAATATGTGTATACATACTAACTTGTGCATTTATATATAAGTGTAAATATCTCTGTATGTAACATCTGTATTTCTATTAAGTGAAACATGAGTTCATGCTGATGTTCAATCCATGTGAAAGAATGGCATGATGAACACCAGTATTCCTTTCTATTAGGTTCATCATTCCCAACATTTTGCCATTGTTGCTTTTGCTCTCTCCAAATGTGCCTTTTTGCCCTCCTGAATCATTTGAAGTAAGTTGCAGACTTCATCATTGCACTTCATGACATCATCATCACATCCCTAAATATGTCATCATGCCTCTCCTACAAGAGTGAGGAAATTGTCCCATTTAACCACAGTTCTATCCTCACAAGTAAAAAAAGGATCAGCCATGCAATATTATTTCATATTTAAA